TGGTGAAGCGGATAGCAACTACATAATAGGCAACTCGTTCAAAAGGTTCCGCAGGTGTTCGTCGTGCTCTTGGCTTGCAACCTAGACGTTCTCACTATGGAAGAAAACGAACTTTCACCCTCGAAGGCGCTAATCCATGAAACGTTATGAGGTTCGAGCGATATTACACTGGCCAGCTAGCACTTAAGGACATGGATAAGTCTAATGGTATAGCAGTGGCGGTTTTTGGAACATCATTGGGATGGCGATCTGAACACGTTTTCATGGGGTGAAAAAGGAATATTCTGAAGGCGCGTAATGGGATACCTATCCGGGACCATGATGGCGTTCACATCCCAATAATTCCCATATGGCCTCACATCTACAGAATTGTTCTTTAAAGCCGTAGGAATGGGAGAAGTCCCAGCACTGCTTGATAAACGTACTATACCCAACTGAATTCCGCCTTCCCTACGAAACTTGTCATGCGTTAAGCATGGCGGAAGACGAGACTACTCGTTGTCACTGTCGGATAAATGACATCATCGGGCTGATATCCTGACTTTGTTATGCCACTCAATCTATTCAATCCATTCCACTAAGTTGAAATGGATCAAGGCAGAATAAACTAGGGACTCGCCTACATGGTAGACTTTTGAACTGGACTTTGGGATGTGTTAAGCCATCGATCACTTGACATTATCTGTGCTTCACGTTAATACCAGCATGTCGGAAATGGACCGGGGTCTAAGACAGCCGTTGCACCTTAGCTGCAATGAAAATCCAAGGAGACGATCTACGAAGATCAAGGTCCACCCCAATGGAACCTTGTCCAGGGGTGTAGGTGGGCGTGCCCTTGACAATCTGTAGGTTAAATACGGGGCAGCGCTTTAGGTCTCCCAGACGTAAGTGAACCAGGCTGACTTGGACGCAGGTGCCTACCACGTAGTGTATGACATACCCAACAACACACAGATTGAGGATACAATTTGACTTGCATAGGCTGGCGTGTGCAGTCGCCATGACGAATTGGCATGCTCGTGCTCCTATTTGGATAACCGGAACTACTTTACGCATTTTCGAGTCATGCATCCAGCAGTTACCTGGTGACCGAATAGCACTCCGAGTACGTCTTATTAGATCGGCAGTACCGCTACATGTACCGACGGAATCAAAAGCCGGTCCTTTATGTAATCTCCACGGCTTGTATAAGCGGGTTGTCGAAGTAACAAGATCGAGATTGCTTGTTCCTCTGTCTCCATTATTTACCCTTTATAACGTTTAATTCTTTTGATTCGGCATCCTGGTGAGTGTTATTCAGTATTTGATGCACATGAATCAAGAGCCATTATTAACATAGCGGCTTGAAAACGGAATTCTCTGGTGGACTGTCGTATACCAGGGTCTGCATGGCCCGTAATAGCTACATGGGGGATGCGATCACTAAATTCTTTATCACTGAGTAAAGGTTGCATCCTCTTACATTTACTAAAGCCAATCCCACGAACTAGCATGTCCCTTAGCTCTGGATGAGTGGGGTTTGTTTTCAGGGAAGCTTGGGTGGTGGGCAACAGTGGGGTCAAGAAAGTGATTATTTAACTTCCTAAGCACCTTTATGTATGTCATTGATTGAAAAACTGCCTAGACTTATGTAAACCGGTTTGGGGTGTTGTATACGAAATACTAACAGACAACCATATACGGTATTAATATTCCCCGATTGTTGATCAGTCACATTCGTATCCATGAATGGAATAATGGAATGGATACGACCGTCCAGGAGCCAAAAAGTTATTCGAAATCGCCAAGTTCACATATGGGTCATTACTTTTGAACGAAGCTTGTATCTCACAATAATGACGAAAGCACAGGAAAGCCCGGAAGAAACTTCACTACCATTAGTGTTTGACGTGGTATGCAAACGGTAATTTATTGCATGGTATCTAGGTACGCTTCGTCTGTTCTGACCGAATGAACTCGTAAAGAAAGTAACCTAATCAGATGTAAAAAGCTTAGTGGATATTAGTCGTACGTACGCGCGCATGTGAAATTAGTGCATATACACTATTCGGCCTGTGTGCTACACTGTATACCGCAACTACTGTGCACTTGACGTTTCTACCAAAGCAACATGCGATCCCTTCGTTTAGTCGCACCGTTCCAATATTTCAAGTCACTCTTTCAATAAATAAATAAACGTTATCTTCTTCGACCGTGCGAAACACAGTCCAACTGAGTGGTCTGATTATTATGTACAGCTGAATCGTATAAAACAGGTACTTGCTCTAGTTTTACACACTGATTCTTAAACCGTTTTTTGAAGTGATTGATAAGTTATATGTATTAGAAAAATTGAGAAATTAAAAACGATAACAAATGCAGATAGCGTCAAGTGTTTAGGGGAATTTATACGGCTATCCGTGGAACCGTCTCCAGGGGACCTATTTTCATGCAGATGTTCTTTCGAAAAGTTTCACCCGCACTTCCGTGCCCCGTATGTGCGTGTGGCACAATACCAAGCAAACCATCACATGTTTAAGGTTTATATTACGATTGAACCTGTCTAAGGCCACAACTCAAGAGACCGACACAAAGTGGTTGCCATGGCCAGCTTCATGCATAGGGACATTATTCATAGGAAAGAACGTTAGGGATGTCTTTGTCTGGTCGCCATAGACAGGTGGTCGCCATGACTAGCTGGACTGTATAGGGCTACATTTTTGGCGAGCAAGTCATCCACCTCATTCCATCATTCGGCGCATTCAGGTATGCCACGTTTACGCCAGTAAGTCAGTAACAATACGCCTTGCATAGATATACTTGTTAGCTTGGAAGCTTCAGTCCGTCACCACAGAAGATTAGTCCCGTCGTAGGCACCAATGAAATAATGAAGAATATGAAATGTGACTAATTAAACATAATAATGGCAATAACGTTAATAAATGTATGGCACATTGCGCAACAGTGCAAGAAGGGTCGTTGGCTCATCCGATCGAATTGTACGGCGGAACAACCGAAGCAGATAACTGCTCGAATTATCCATAAGCAAGGACGTAACGAAAACACTATTTTAGGTTCACCATTAGTTTTGTGCATTCGAACAGTAGGGAGGTCCAAATCACCAAGAAGTGAAACTTGCCAGGTATTCCTGAACTGTTACCTCAGGGAAAGAAGTAGACATGGTTATCAGTGTAGAACGAACGCAAAGAAATCATGAAACGAATCTTACGCATTGTTCAGTCTACGGGGTTTGGATTACGTAAATATTTCTTGTCATGATGTCATTAACTTACTGTCATCTTTAATCTCAAATCAGAAAACAGTCGATAGACACATTTGAATAGAGTACCTGTGCGTGAGAGGCAGAGCTAAAGTTACAATTGAAGATGGTTAAACGGCACAACTTAAACGATACAAATGCCGATGTTTCACTCATCGTAGCATGTATACAATCGATGTTCTCTGGTCTCATATATGTTCAGATCCGTCTTCAAATAGCTTTCCCGGCAGTTGGAATATTTAGCGTTATTCACCCTCCCTATTGACATATAAACATTTATCATTTTCTTAAACATGCACAAATGTTCAGGGCGTCTAATTTCTTTTAGCGGTTTATTGCAGATGATACCGGATCTGAAGAGGTAAAATTTTCGCCTTAGAATAGTCCTGAATCTGGAAAATGTAACTACACATTCTGTGTCTCGTATATTATATTTTGTTTTTATTTGGAACTTTGGGGTGTACTTCTCACTGTAGACATTTCTCCACACGAATTTATGGAGGAAGTACAAGTTAAATGCGACCTTTTCAAACATAAATCCTCGATGTTATTATGGATGCATTTATCTCTATGTGAAGTGCAGTTGAATAGATCAAGATACCCATTGTAAAGGCGCGCTGAAGGTTTTCGATGGTTTTTAAATCACATGTATGCAGGTTGCTGCATTTATCACAGGATTGCTCAAGTAAGTCTTATAAATATTTTATTCTCGACAGTGAACTCATTTAATCGGGTCTCTTTCCAAGTTCGCAATTGACATGTGAGCCTAACCAATTTCTTAATCTTCGTTGCAATATAACGCATACGTTCGCTAAAATCTGCTTGTTCGACACTACCCCTGATGCAGCGATGTGTAGCTGTTTCTTAGCTAACTGGCTTGCGTGCACGTACTGGGTATCACATCGTTTCAAATGGGTAAGATTGATCATGATAAGTGTGGCATTTATTTAATGATCATCTTTCTTATGTCACTCTCGACTCCCTTTGCGTGCTGGTTGTTTTCATTTGCCAGGTGTAACCGCCATCTAATTTGTCGTGGCAGCGTGCGATTCTTTTTGCCGTCAAGCTGGGTCGACCAGCTGTTGCAATGTTGTTAAAACCGCACGATGTCTGAACACAGACATACCACAGTAACAGCTGACCGGCTGAATGAGGGTACGTCTCCTGCGACTCTTTCGCTTCTTCGTACATGAGAGTGGAGACTGGAAATCGGCACCCTGACATTCGTGAACGGGGCTATGTGACCACCCCGTGTCCGTGCTGCTGTGTCATGCTGCGTACACGCACGCAACCGACAAGGTGAACCAAAATAAACTCGGGTGCTGCTGTTTTCTCCATATGTGCGCATTGCGGATTCATGCCGGTCTTTTCTACTACACTGGGACATCGCAATGTGCGATTTCCACCCTAGTTCCAAGGTGTGGGTGACGGCCAAATGAACGTTGTTCATTTCTCACTCGCTCACACCCTGTATCCGCATCGACTGAAACGAACACAAAGGATACACGCGACATGAAGCTGGACCTTCCATACCGAATCAGTCCGTTAGTTTACCTGACAACATTTGATACATGTGAATCAGCCGCAAAGCATCGGATATCTTAACTTTCTTTTTGAAACCCAAATCAGGCTTATTTAAGTGTTGGGTAATCATCTGTCAGTTCTCGGGTTATCCAAGGTAGTGCCAACAGTGTTCCTGTTCACTGAAACTGCTGAAAGCGCACTGGGTTTCGGACGGTAGTTACATCAGGTGAGTTCGATCGGTTCTGCTTACTTTGTTCCTTCTTTTACCTCTGCACTTCAGGGGTTATCCGGTACATGTGGGTCTCATTACCTGTTAATTTTTTTCACATATAGGATTTCTTCATAATTATGCCCTGAGTGTTGTGAAGCTTCCGTTATTCCCCCCCCCCCACACATAAGGTAAACACGCTTTCCCTTTTCTGCTCCAATGTCCAAGAGCCCGCGCTTTTTCGACCCTAACGCAGTTGAACTATATGCACCAGGCGCCGTTCCGCCCTATGATTCACTTTATGAACAGCATTGTCAGCACGGCTGAACATGCTGTTCTGACTGCTTCTTTTGTCATACGAATATCTAAACCAAGCATAGTTTTCGTGGTGGGATAGCAATACTGTTGGGAGAGAGCAGCTCCGAAACTCTCCACTTCGGATGCGGTCTCAGTGACCGGAATGGCAGAGGTTTGCCCGTAAAACAAATCATGCTCTCTCAATCGAGATTGCGTGTCGCAATCCCAGACACACGGTGAATGCTCCAAAATCCAACATTGAGCAATAACTCCAGTTCTGCAGCATTCGTAATGTGACAGCTTGCCATCAGTTGTATGAGGCTGCATATTATTTGGCTTCGCGTCGCTACTGGAATACTGTAAATTTCGAGCATCCATAACTAAATGTCCCTTTTTCCCCCACCTTTACCACTGTAATGCTTTGTGGGGTGCACTGTGGACCACGTACCAAAATCCGACTATCGGAGGCCGCTTGTGAGGTCCCCGATTCTTCCATTGGAACTCTTCGACTCTTAAGCTCTCTAGTTCACAACGCTTTATTGATTGGGATACTTTACCCTTTTGACCGCACTAAACAGCCGAAATGAGGATTCAAGCAAACGATAGTACGCTGTGCAAAAGTTTTTGGCCCTCTTTTTCACCTGGTTTATCTCTATGGTGGATGGATTTATGATGTTTCAATAGGCCTAACTAGAACCCGTTAGCTTGTTTCAATGTTTCTGTTTTACTGTCCACGTGTCAAGTCAGAAGTTCCATAAATAATCAAGAACATGGGTGAATGGTTTTTTATACCTATGAACTGGAGGACGCCGATATCACTGGAAATACCATAATGTTGCTCTGATTCCGTAGACGATCAATGTGAGAACTGTTCTTGTGAGTGAGACAATAGCTAATGATAGTGGACTGTTCGTTCGCTCTCAGCGACGTCTGCTAGAATGCTAGACTTATCACACTGGAGTAATTCTGTCGATTCTATGCACAACAATTGCCAATTGAGTCCTATAAATCCAGTGAACGTTGGTATAACAACTCACATTATGGATGAGATCCGACGCAAGCTGGTGCTACTAGAGGTGAATGATGCGCCTGACTCAGACGGCTTCTTCCATCATTGAGGAAATTCTGCAGCACTTGGTTTGTCCGAAACTATCTAGTACATTGGTGGTTGCCAACCGTTTCTCCTTTCTAATGAGGGTTGGTGGAACATCTTGTGAACATCGTAGTAGTGCCACGGTTACCGCTTCGGTATACGCTTCACACCATCTGTGTATGAAGCACTTTTAAGGCAGCGGGCTGACACTGGACCGGTTTTACTGTTATCAAGCACGCACTTGAAACGGTTTATCTGTTTGCTTATGCAGATCACTGTGCTACCTCTGGTAGTCACATCATCGAAGATGCTACTGCAAGCATTCGTATAGATTTTATGATTTAGTATAATCAATCATTCATGTAGGTGGCAGCGTATTAGCCTAGTTCTCAAGGGAATATAATACAATGATGCAGTGCGACCAGTATTACTTATCGACCATCGACATTGCCAAGTTGTGCTGCAGACCATAAGAGGCCGCCCCTATTTGACCACTGAAGTCTGCTAACTAAGCTCTTATCTGGTGGACGCACAGTGGGTAATACTGATGTTCGTTGTCTTGTCCTTGTTAGCCGACCATGTGGTGTCTCACTGGTTTCTTTGTTGAACCCCAACTCCTTACACCAACTAGATAATATTCCTTACCTGTCTACTAACTACCTGCTTTGGCGTTTGTTTTTGCCATCGTCGCACATAATTGTTTGGTGCAGTAACAGAAGATGGCGACACTAAAATTGTGAGTAGGATAGATGCTTGACGTCTTTACGGACAAGGCTCGCAGGATCGTCACGATCAGTGCTATCTACCTATGGAATACATCGTAGTCACGTACTTTGTGGTGCTACTGTGTTAGTTCCCATACCACCTACTCCTGACCATGTCATCTGAACGATTTGCATTTGCTGAATTCTTGTTTCATAGTTCACCTATATCAGCTACTTTGAACTGACTTTGGTGCGGTTAATGCGTTCTTGCGTGATCTGTTTTGTCTCGCATCCGGGTTCGGGTTCACGTTCCTGCAGGTGTTCGGGGGACCCCGCTTAAGGTTACGTGGTAGAGAACGACCACTGTGGTGTCCTGATGTACCTATTATATATCATTTACTCGGTGAAGTAAACAGCCTACCCACCTTAGCTATTCCTTGTTTATCCATAGAACACTGTCGATCTGGATCGATTTTCAAGCCTAGATCTTACTCTTGCCTTTTCCAAAAAATTTAAATCATTTTTCCCTATATTGCACGTCACAAGCTATTCCTGTTGCTCCCTAACCTAAGCTGCCCCATCACACCGTACTTGCTTTCGAAGGCAGATTCGTACCACTTGGTCGCTTCGACCTCTTTTACGCATCACCGATTCGGTCTTATGATTTTTGCGACGTCATATGCATAGGAAAGGTCAGCAACGCGAAATCTCAATTTTTGTATGTGCGTTATGTTAGCTTCCAAATGTCACTTTCGATCTCATTTGTATTAATTCACATTGAATTGGACTCAACTTTAAATCATTTTTCAGACAAAGCGCCCGTTCTGGTATTATTCACTCCCAACACTGCACTTCAGGTACGGTCCTAGTGATCAGAATGGCCGAGGTCCACTTCGAAGTAAACTTAAGTCCCAATAGAGATTACGTGTCGCAGTCTAAACACACCGTGTGGACTTCCAAAGCCAAAATTGAACTCTGTAGTTTGTCTATTTTGCCGTTTAGTTTAAATTACCCTGTGTTTAATGCCTATCAGTTAACCGTTGGGCCATTCCGGTCAGTCGCATCAATGTTACCAAGTGACCATCAATCACACATTGATTCGGACTGCTTTCTATCGCCCATATCTGGTTACGGGCTGGGAAGTCACTGAGATGGAAGACTCCTATAGTTTGCGTTTGTGGATTGAGCTACGTCCCTTTCTCTACGAATGAGCTAAGGATTCCACTCAAAAGTACTCATCATCGCAAACATACTTTCTCACGCAATTACGCTGACTCGGTGACATCATCATCATCATCATCAACAGCAGTACATCAGCCATTTGAACTGATGCTTCGCTGTCATACAACCGTGAGGTTCTGTGAAATAAAGAATAAGAAGAGGGAGAGAAGGGGGACTTACCTGAAAACCTTAATGCCCTAAGCAAACATTCAGGGTCAAGGCGCCTACACCTTGTGTAGACAACATTCCGTCACAAACAGCTGGCTATCGTGCAAAGATAAGGCGGCATCGGCGAGACAGCTTCCTTGCGGCTTTCACTGCCACGCATCATAATCAGCCATTACCCCGCAGATAACTCAGCACCAAACACACTTTAAACAGACAATCCGATTAGGAGACGGCAGCAGACGCGCCACTGGTGTCTAATGCGAGCCATGTCCTGTAAAGTCTCGAGCCAAGCACAAGGTGAGTCACGTGGACTCCAGCCCGGAAGGCGAGACGGACCAACGGCACCCAGTTTGGTTGTCAGTGACTTCATTTCCCGCTGCCAAGTCAACTTCTGTCCACCTCGAGACTTGCGCCATCCTACACCTGGTAGACTAAACAAGGCCCTCCTAGGTAAGCGGTGACCAGGCATGCGTAGCACGTGCCCGAGCCAACGCAACTTATTCAGTGCTATGTGTTGTTCTAGGGAGCTAGCATGATCATCACCACCTAGTACTCGCCTACGCACATTACCGTTGCGGACACGCTGGTGCCATCCGACACCAGCAATGCTTCGCAAACAACGATGATCAAAGAGTTGAAGGCGCCTCAGATCTTCAGACCGAAGGGGCCAAGTTTCACTACCATAGAGCAGAATGGCCCTCACTGTGGCCTTGTATACACGGCCTTTCAGACGGAGGGAAACTCCCTTCTGTCGCCAAAGATGACGCGGGTTCAAGAAGGCAGCTCTGGCCTTTGCAATGCGTGAGCTCACGTCAGTTTCTATGCGCCCATCATTGCTGATGCAGCTGCCAAGATAAGTGAATTGATCAACCACCTCGAGTTCCTCGTTAGCAAGCGTCAAGGGGTCATCGAGTGGCTGGTGGTCATGCAGCAACACTTTGCACTTTGAAGGTGCGAAGTGCATACCAAATAATGGGACCACTCTGGATAGGCTATTCAGGGTTGATTGTGCCGCCTTAACATCGTCCAAAAGCAAGACGATATCGTCCGCATAATCTAGATCAACTAACCGTTCACCAGGCAGCACTTCAACACCTACATCGTGAGATTGCGCAAGGGAACACTCCATGATAGAATCCACGACGAAATTGAACAAAAACGGGGAAATCGGACAACCCTGTCGAACGCCACTTGTAGTCGAAAAGCTATCCGATAAGGCACCATAGACCCTGACGCGGCCTCTAGTGTTCGAGTATAGAGCACGAAGGATGTTCACATATTTCGTGGGAACACCTTTTCGCGCAAGTAATTCGAACAGAATCGATCAATCGACTGAACCGAACGCACTCTTGAAATCGAGGAACACAGCTATTGCCGGTCTGCGGTATGCGTGGCGCTACTCTAGCACCTGCCGCAAAGTGAATATATGGTCTATACAGCCACGTCCTGGACGAAAACCGTCCTGCTCTTCCCTAATCCGAGATTCCCGTTCCGCAGTGAGGCGACGAACGAGAATCGAGGCCAGTAATTGTGTC